TTTTTTTTTTTTTTTTTTTTTGTTTTTTCGAAATGGTTTCAAATCTTATGCAAATCTACAAAGCACCAATCAGTAGATCCTCTTTTTAACATTAGTCGTTTTGCGGAACAAAATGTGCTCTTCTGCTCCTCCTCCAATTTTTTTTTTTTTTTTTGCTTTTTTGCTTTTCTTGGTTCTAATTTTCTATTTATTTTTCTCAAGCAGTTCTCGTTGGGCAGGAATTTTTTCATTTTGAAATCTTTTTTTCTCTTGAAAAACTAAGAACTAAAGCCCCTTGAAATTTTTTTGAAGTTTTTTTTTTGGTTTGTTTTGCTGACTTCTAATCCTCGATGGCAATACATTTTAAACAAGTCAAGGATTTGATGAGACTCCATCAGTCAGTAGTTAGTCGCCAGCAGTAGTTAGGGTGGCGGTTATAGTCGTTATTGTTGTTGTCGTTATGTGCTGCCGATAATGCCGCGGACAGTGGTCAGTAGCAAGCAGGCGAACTGTTGACCGGCTGCTAGCTTTTTCGCTTCGGCAGTTATAAGTCTTCCAGTCCGTCCAAAGTCATCTTGGCCTTACTCATCTGCCAACTGTCAAACGACCTTCAATAGCTGTTTGCTGCTTTTCTCTGAACAGCGCCGTCATCAAATCGTTTGCAGTAATTTTGCTCTCAAAATCCAACTGCTTTTCAACAGTTATTTGCTCATGCTACATTCTCCTCAGTTTCACTATTCAATTAGTGTCCATCACCAAATCAAAATTGCATCTTTAACGTTTTTTTTACTGATCACCGTTGATAATTTAATGTAGCCGGCAAAGAAAACATATGCTTCTAAAAATAAAGTTGGTATTGTCTTTTTAACAACTACACACTAAAAGCAGTTCTTCTAAAACAGCACACGTTCATTTTCTACGATTTTTAAAAATTAGATTGCAAATTCTCCTAGCACAAACTTTTATATCTTATGATCTTCAATTTTCAAAATTTTAAAAATGCCTTGATAGAGGAATGATTTGGTAGTTTAGTAATAATGCAGTAACTGAACAGATTCTCTATTATTTTAGTGAATATTAATGATAGAAGATAAGAAAGAGACGAATCAACAGTTTTAACCTTCTATTATGATTGTGCTGAATTTGTTTGAAAGTGTCTTGATGAGCGACATTCTCGGTTAGAGTTCGCAGTTTAAAGCTAAGACATTTTGCCATTTTAAATGGCATTTCAGCCAGAAAGTACAATTTTGCACCAACTTCTTGGAAAGTTAGAAATGACACTCTGTATTAAGCATTAATTAGAAATATTGGCACTTATCTGTGTAGCGATAACTGCTAGTTGATGTCTGCTATATAAACGGGATGGGAAAAGGTTACGAATGCTTGTCGCAAAGAACTTATTATGTTTAGAGCATGTTTTTACAACAATTCCTGTTATTCGCACTCGCCTGTGCTACTTTCGCTCAGCAGTTTCGCCGAGTTGAATTGCCACCAATTAATGAACTTATCATAAATGTGAGTAATGTTCAGTTACTTTTTTGTTCTTCTTTTTGACCAGTCTTTATATTTAACCATGTTTATTGTTGGTTATTTTTACTGTAATACTAACAGTTTCAACTTTTATTGGCACACGTAGCTAATGATTGGTTAGGGAATGACAACTGGAAAAAGAACGGTAAAAGTTAATTTTGGTGTGGGCATTAGTGAGTAAAAAGGAGTTTTTTTGCATTTGCTGACACACTAAATTGAAACACCATGGTATTCAAAGAACTAGCGATTTAGGCGCTAAAGGATGTATATAACGTATTTTGGCCTTTCAAAAAGGTTAGTTATTTATGTCACAGTAACGTTTAGCTGCTTCGGTGCTGCTAAATAGTCACGTATAATTTGATATTTGTCTAACCGAACCGGCTGACCAGCAAGCAGAAACGTTTTTTTGAGTAAAATTTAGATAAGGAATGAAGTGTAAGCTTGCAAAACAAATTCAGGTACGTATTACTGTATAAGGTTAATGTATGTGGTCAAAAATAAAAATTGTGAGATCAGCAAGCAAAAAAGATTGGCCAGCACATTTGACAAAATGGCAAGCAACAACAAATATCACCTGCTTAGAAAACTGTCTAAAACAAGAATTTAGAGATCCAGTATTGCAAACAGTTGAAAAGAATCGATAGTTTTAGTTCTATTTTTTGTGGTTACATAGAATGAAGAATTTCTATTATCAAAATACTTTATAGCTGGTGTCTGTTAATTTGCTGTTAGGCCATCAGAAGAGATTTGCAAATTTGTGTATTTATAATTTTAAGCGGTCACCGAAGCACCTCGCAGAATGGCATAGTTACGGCTTTGCTGCATGAGCTCTTTGAATCCCATATACTATTCCAGGACCAAAAGCCTGCCAACACACAGCAGTTACGGCCAGTGGTCATGCATCCAACAGCATCTTCCGGTACTCCGACTGAAGTCAGCGATTACGACCGCTTTCGAAGTGACACGGAGAGATATCACCAACCTATCTCTACACATCCAAAATATAGTAGTGATTATAGTAGTCGACAATCGCAACAACAGGTGAGTCATGGACACTATTACGTACTGATCTCATATAATGCTCGTTCAGTCTACATACAAACTGTCAGTATGAAATCAATAAAAAAAGGTAAGCTAAAAAAAGGATTTCTCCTCAATGCTTTGTTTGCTGCAAATAAAATTCAAACTACCTAAAAATAGTATTTTTCGTGGACGGCAGGACTTGTCAACCGAATGTATTTCAGCCTATAGATAGTTGGTATGGCGAACAGGTACAGTCATCATCACCCAACCGACCTTCAAATTTTAGACCGTCCGGTCATGACGTAACAGCAGTACCTGGAATGATAGCGTTACCGTCTTCGCCGCCAAAGTCAAGTACAACAACCAAACCACTGACCGACAGCTCTTACGCAATTAACTATTGCGACAGAGTAAGAACTTGACTATTTCTCGGAGTAATTAATTTATTGAAAATAATTCATTGACTTTGCGGAACATTGTCTTCCTAAACTTTCCGATAAAGCCAAGAGTTGCTGTGACTGCTCCTTAGAGCGATATAAAGCTTAAAATAAGCTTGAAGACACACTTGTTGCAGCGCGAGTTTCCCGATAGCGTTTTAGCTCAGTATAGCCTTGAACGAATTGAATACTTCATATTCAATACGTCGTGCTCAGATATATTCTTCCAGTGCTCTATTGGTCAAACGTTTTTGCTCAAGTAAAAATCTTTTTCAAAACCTTCAAACCTTTTTCTGGTCCAGCGTGATGGTCTCTTTTTAGTCTTTTTGAACCATTTACATGACATTTAAAAAGATGGCTCCATTTTTCCTGTTGTATCTACTCCCTCTGCTTATCCAAAATGATTCTCATAAGCACTTTCAATTACTGTCATAAACCTAGATGCCCAAGTCCGGATCAAGCATTTGACAGGGTCACAATTAACTGTAATTTCCGAAGTGACGTCAAAGAATGCCCTGAGTACGATCATGTCATGCACTGCAGTAAGTTTAAATTTCATGTAACTGTTATGTGGGAAATCCTTCAAACCTATCTATCTTTAGTAAATGATGAAAAACGATCACTATTTAAATCTTAGTTATAATAAAAAGTTCTTTTAAGTTTACACTTAAATTCAAACCCCATCTTATATCAAACTGCTTGCAGCTGTTAAAGACTCTTGTAATGAGAACGAATTTGCTTGCTGTGCTGAACCACAAATGTGCATTGATCTTGCCAGACGGTGTGACGGACACATAGACTGTGCTGACGGCGACGATGAGAATAACTGCCGTTAGTTTTTGAATTTTTTGCATTGGTGTTGGTGTGTTTCGACTATGGCCTTTTTCGCTAAGCAGGTAGCGCCTCATTGTGCAAAGGGCTTCAGTAGTGGCATATCTGAGAATTCCTCAAATTATCATTAAGGTTTTATTCTTCTATCTTAATCCATTTTAGCCTCCTGCAAAACTGATGAATTTGCATGCGTTAAGAGCGGACGCTGTATACCGGCAACACTGAGATGCGATGGCGTTCTTGATGACTGCGGCGACGGTAGTAATATGGACGAAATTGGATGTAGCCGGAACTCAAGTAATTAGTTCAAGTACTTACCTAACCACACTTTTTCATCTTACAGCTTTAACGGATGGCTAAGCCATTGATCGTGCAGTGGCATACCACACAAATTTATACGTTCCCTTCCGCGATAAAAAATATAGCTAATTAGTCGATCCTGCCTCCAAAATCTACGTTTAAAGTTACACTTTGCTAAGGTTCCTGCTCGGCATCTCAGCCTCCCAGCTGAACCTGACCTTTTGATATCACGAATCCTTTGTTTTACATGTGCTAGGTTTTTGAGTTTCTTTTGAAAGTTCTTTGTTTCGCTACAGTAAAGTCAAAGGTTATTGGCAGAATTATTGAGGGAGGGGGAGGACGGAAGTAAAATGAAGACGTTGAAGGGGTTAACATGAAAAAGCCACCGTTTTCCCCGTTCAACAAAGCTGGTAGGTCTCTTGTTAAGCGCGAAAGCACCTAACTTTTTATCCAAATACTTGCTTTCTTCACTTTTTGAAGTTACCTCTGACTATGTTCAAAAAATTTAAAAATGCAGTCTAGCGTTGCAGTTATTGGCCGTTTTCTTAAAACTTAGCAAAGGAACGTTTGGTTAAAAGTGGAAAGCACTAATTAACGGATAGTAGGTGGATCTTTAAATTCTGTTCAAGTTGCATGAACCGACAACCTCTCGGTTGGATCTGTGTTGAGAATGACTAAGTCCAGTGTTAAAGCTGCAGTTTATAGAAGTATTCTAATTTTTTATCTTGGATAACTTATACAAAACATATATGCCAATATTGAACGTCTGACTAATTCTTATTTTCTAATTTCTTCTTCCGTCTATTTAAAGCGAGAATGCATCTACTTGCAGCATGTCTTGGTCAATTTGTTTGCCACAGTAATCTATCAAAGACACTTATGGGAACGCACAACTGTGTGGAGTACTCGAAACATTGCGACGGCATTCGCGACTGTCCCAATGGTGAAGATGAAATTAACTGCAGTAAGTTTTAAACAAATTAATAACAGTACAAAGGGAAACAGATAACTGACTCAATCAACGGTTCAGTTTTTTAAAAACCTTACTCAATAGTAAGATTTTGATCTTAGCATATAGATTGAAAAAGTTACCCTACAATGACCTCCAGTAGAAGTCAATATCTTATCTTGTTGTTGTGGGCAATCGCATTTTCTAATCAATGACAGACTGTAATTTGCTATGTGGTGTTAAATTCGCGACCCAAGTCGGGCTAGAAGAAAATGAAAAAATCAGTTATTGGCTTTAGGTTGGGAGGGTACTACAGTGGACAGGTCAGTAATGAAAATAACCATGAAACTGAGTGAAAGCGTAATGATGATCAAAAGTTGAATTGGCGAATGGAGCCCTACTGCTTTATTCTCCTATCTTCCTATTCAGATTTCTAGCCTTGCGGCTCGAAAAATTCGTAAACTGACTTTACAAACTCTTGCTCTTTTAACGCTGTCGGGGTGAAAGCCATATCCAGTTATGATTTTTGCGATTTTGGCAAATCGTGAAGGAAATTTAAAATTACATTTTGCTAATGCAGTAAATTACAGTTTTTTCATAGTGAGTCGCTTCCATTGAAGAAGTGCAGGTTTGAAAACTGAGAGAATGGTAATTTGAGAAAACTTTTCCAGTTTGAAAGCAGTCGATTTGACGTAGAGCAATGCATCCCGAGAAGTCCCTTTTAAAATCCTTTTTTTTAGAGGGGTTCTCCCTTTCCTGCTTTGCACAAAACTATTAGAAGCCAAAAAAAAAAACCTTTTTTTTTTAGAGTGATCATTTCAAAATAGACTAATTACTCTGCTTTTATTCGCAGAAATGGCTGAGGCAAAATACCTGTTGTGCGAAAACCAAAAACAAAGTGTTACAAAACAACAGTGGTGCGATGGCAATGAGGACTGTGCAGATGGGTCCGATGAAAAGTACTGCTACAAATAATCACCATAGCACAAGCACACATTTTTACAACAGACGTGTCATCCGTAAAAAAAACCAGAAACAACGAATAACGTGAAAGACCATCAACGGCTAACCATCTGTCTACCGTCTAAAAATGTTCTGTCTTTAGGCAGATCATTCAGCTTCACCCGTGATTATCCAACGTACTTGCTACTGACCACTAATAAATAGGCATTTTTATAAAGCAAACCTGTATAGTTTCTTGTCTTCTTATTCGTTTGCTTGTTCGCGTCTTGTACC